AAAACCCCAAAACCCCAAAACCCCAAAACCCCAAAACCCCAAAACCCCGTAAAACTAGATAATGCTATATCATAGTTAAAATAAATAGCTTGATCAAACGGGAAAATATTAGGTTAATAATATTTTTTTAAAATGCAAGATAAATCATAGCAACCCTCAAAGTCAAGAGAGGAATTATCACTTCTTTAAAATTTATCAGAGCCATAGAAACACTACGTAGTTTAGTACCTTTTCCCAACACTTGTTGATGCAATGAACCTATTTATGATGGAGGCATAGCGATCATCCCATTATGAAGAGTTTATGAAATAAAATTATACCAAACCAACTTAGAGTATGTAATAGATTCAAAATCAATAACCTACTATTGATGCTATTTCTACGAAGTCCTCATCTTTCTAGAGTTATAACTACCAACCAAATGTTGATTAAAAACCAAAGGTTGATTAAATGGAGTAAAAGAGAAACTAATTGATTAGTTCAAGATCGAGGTTCTCAAGCGGTACATCATTTAACTCAGCTGTATCTCTTAATACAATTTAATTCGATCCAGTCTAGCAATTTTAAGAGGCTTTTGTAGAAGCTTCTAAAAGCTAGAAAAATAGGAGTAAACTTAATAACGATACGAATAGTGTGAACTCCCCCCTTGTGAGACCAAGTGATTAATATTTATAAACTAAAAGAAGATCAGTGTTTTCAAGACCATATGAAACGTTGGACGAAATGCAGGAATTCACTCCTCCAGTCCATCAAAAATCTGAGGAGCAATTATAAAAGCTTATGGAAATTCTCAAAACTTCCTTTTTGACAAAAAATCTGTCGTTATTTGAACTTAAAATCATAGCTGATGCAATGTATCTTAAGAAGTTCTAAAGAAATGATTTGATTATTAGATATGGTGACATAGGTCAAGAGTATTTCATCTTAGATAGTGGAGTAGTAGAAGTATTAGTCTATCAAGATGGAGTTGATCCAAATGATCCACTAATATTTAAAAAAGTTAAATTCTCTAAGTTCTTAAAGCCTTTTGTCGGGTTTGGAGAGATCGCTCTTCTATATAATGACAAGAGAACAGCTTCAGTTCGCGCAGCAGATGTGTGTGATACATGGGTACTTGAGGGAAAAGTATTCAAGCATATAATAATCAAAGCAACAATAACTAGAAGGAATATCGAGCTATAGTTTATTGATAGTATTAATGTTTTCAAGGATATTGATAGGTTCAACAAGATGACTTTAATTGACGCATTAGAGCCCAAAAAGTTCTCTCAAGGTGATACTATCTTTTAATAAGGAAGTGAAGGTGATAATTTTTACATTCTTGAAGAAGGAGAGGTTGATTGCTATCAAAAAGTATTTGGTCAAAATGAACCTAAGCTAATAAGGACTCTTTAACCGGGAGATCATTTTGGAGAGATAGCTCTAATTGGTGATTGTCCAAGAACATTGACAGTTAAAGTTAAGTCCACAAATTGCAAATTATTAGCATTAAGTAAAGTACAATTTCTTACAATTTTGCCAATTATTGAGCCATACTTGAAAAAGGATTGGTCCAATATTAATCCATCTATGAATGCCTCTTAAATTATGCCTACCAAGCAGTCCTCTTTCAGAGCTTATAGTTTATAGAAAAAAAGCAGTGAAGAGGATGAAAGTAGTTCAGATAATAGTTGTAGGCAAGGATAGCAGCCTACCAAGACCTCGTCATTCGGATCATATTCTCTTAAGATGCAAGAAAATTCATAATCACCACCTACCAGAGGGAAAAGTAGACTTGTCTAATAAAATCAAATCATAGAGGAAAATGAGAATGAAGATGAATTTAATGCTACTGCTCAATCACAAGAGCAAAATTTTGGGCAATAGGACGAAGAAACTTAAAAATAATAATTAATCAATGAGCTTGCTAATACTTAGGTCCTTATTGATGATGAATAAGATGGTACAGTTATGTAGGAACAAACCAATATTGAGCAAAAATGAGCAAAAAGTACAAAGTACATTCAACTACTAAGAATCAATTACTATTACTAAAAATTTTATTATTCTATCAAAAAACTTAACATATATTTTTAGCCATTTTTTAAATTATGGGGTTTTGGGGTTTTGGGGTTTTGGGG